CTTCTTCTTGTTTTCTTCTCTGTTTTTTACCGTTAGCCCCCGTCAAAAGGCGTTTCCCTTTCTTCAGGAAGTGTCCATGATGCGAGCACATATGGTACGGTCGTGCCATTTGACGCCAACCAGGAGTTGGCTCACAAAAGGGCACGCTGGTTCGAAACAGAAGTTTGGGCCTTTTCGCACCCGTTTCGGCAGTGGGCGCGCTGATGGGGTGCGGGGCCTCGCCTTGTCAGGTGGGCTGTCAAAGACGATGTGCCTTGGCTGCGATAGGGGGGTTTCCTCTTTACTAGGGTGGGATGTGGGTGTTGGACCCCATTTGAGATGTCTCAAATATGAGGTGAAGCAAAGGCGGCCATGTTGGGGGAGCAAGCCTCGGGCCAGAAGTGAAGTTGTTTGGTTGACTGAGTGGTCGTCGCCGCGGGAACGGTTCCTCCTTCATTTTGCTTGAATGCAATTGAGCCTGTGTTGTGTCTTTTGAGAGCTGCAAGAGGCGCACCGAAGGGTCGAGCAAGCCATTTTTCCACGAGTCTTTGTTTATAGCTTGAAATTACTTCATCAATTCATGTTGACCCGGCTTAGTCTATGAAGTGAGGGTACACTTTTCTGTAAGTCGACCGAATCGCCGAGTGTGTTTCTTAAGGCCCGCGCCAACATGTGTTCTTTCTTTTTTTTGACACCTCTTCTTGGGGTGGATGTAGAGGCAAACGCGTGGAATTCCACAATTTTGGGAGTTCCCCCATTTTGAAACAGACCCAAACTCAGCACGGATCTGTTGCAAGCTGTCTCACAGGAGCTCAGAAGGAGACACGGATTTTGCTGGCACATGGCCAATTTAGTTTGGAAGCTACCGTCGATCTTGGGTTTCAAACATGCAAAGATGGGCACTCTTAATTTTTTTCCAACGGAACCTGAGGTTTCTCGCTTTTACTCTTTGTGCCATGAGAGTCATTCATTCAACACCTTTGGTGTATTGTTTTGCTGGTCAGTTGCAATTCTTTGGGCTTGTCTCAAAGAGGGCCCCCCCCCTACACATGCAGACATACACCCCACCCCTTCTTTGGATGCGTCAGCGGCGTGCTCGCTTTGCCCAGGGCTGAGCCGCAGTCTCAGGGGGCGCTTGGTGGTTTCCTAACTGGTGGGGAGTGGCCGATTGCATTGTGATGGGCGGGGGTCCATTCCGTTTGGTTTTCCCTTCAAGCACCAGACCGGATCACCCAAATTTGGGTTTAGCACCTGTGCAAAGCCTATATTATGTGTCCTTTCTGTTTTCAGTTTGGTAGAATATCAATGGACTTCACCGATCTCAGCTTGTTCTCATCACTTGTATACCCTGGTGCGTGCGTTTTCTGCAACGACAACCCCCGTTCGGGCGATGCGCGTGGACACATGCACTAAGTTGAATAATACTACAGCTAGAGACATGCTCGCACGTTGTGCAATGACGCCACCATTTACTTTTTCGCACTTTGTCTGGGCTTAGTTGGCCACGAGCTGATCTGGTGAATGCCTTTTGCAGATTTCGGAGTGCTCGTTTTGCCGAAGTTGTTGTGGTTGTGAGCCGCCCGTCGCGGCCCAGGCTTGGAGATAGCTCTGGGAGAAGATATGTGACGCTTTACGACTTCGATCCTTCCGCCGCTCGTCGGGTTTGTCTCGCACCGGACCTCGAAAGGGGAGGCGTGGAAATCGCCACTTTTTCGGCACTGCGCCTCAGGGTTCCCAAAAGACTTCTTTTTTCTGGTGCCCAAAAGACTTCTTTTTTTTCTGGTGGGGTTGAAGCAGCAGATTTGAGGCCTTTTTCAAGTCATCTTCCTTTCGGGAGATATTCAAAATCAAATATCAAAGAGCCAACCGGCCCAGTGATTCTCGGACTGTCGCTTGGTTGCTGGGACCCGAGGTCATCGATTGGCGCTTTCCGCCCCTGCCTCGTGAGCTCCATGGGACCGGTGCGTTTTTTGAGATGCCGTTTTTGGTTGGAGCAAGCGCACTGGATCCTGGCGGCTTTGCCACCCAGGAACCAGGCACCGCTCCCGCTGAAAGTGGGCAATGTGGTGGAAGTGCTGCACGACGGAGGGACTGGCTGGGCGCGCAGCTCAGAAATCTCCAAGTCCAAGAACGGGTTTGGGGCACCTCCCACAACCGATCTGACCTTTGAGGTTTTTGACTTGGTTCGTTTTTAGGTCTTTCACCTGTTAATTCTGAGACCAGAGAATTTGGTGTGGTGCCACCGGGATTGGCCCTCTTGAAGCTCGCAGGTTAGGGTTTGTATCTTTGGCAGGGGTCAACCCCAAATTCAACGATGTCCGGTTCGATCCTAAACGGAACCTGGATCGAACTCCGAAGATCAACTCGCACCAGGCCCAAAGTAATCCCTGAGCCCAAAACTTCATCCAGGCAGGCGGAAATCTGAAGCCACAAGCTAGCCTGAATCAACCCCAACATTTACGCCATAAAACACACATGTTTGCCCAGCTCTAACCCACCTTAGCTTTTGACCTCCAGCCGTTGCTCCATGAACGTGCCACGTGTTGCTCCAAAAAACATCGGGGCGCCTTCTCACTTTTCCAGCGGTCGGCTGTCACGGGCGGCCGGGTTGCGGTCGTTGGGGGCAGGTCTATGGACACCTTGTGGGGTCGCCGGAGCAGAAGGGCTTCTTTCCGCTGAACTACACGGCGCCCGAAGCCTGGGATGGGACGGGGTGGGGTGCCTTTCTTCGCAGCTCTTTTTGTGTCTCGAAATAGGGGAACCCCAACACCAGGTGTTTCTTTTCTTTCATTGACCCCCCCCAACCGGGTAACCCTCAAAACTTGAGAGGCTATGGTTTCGGGCTTCTGCTACAGGTCGCTCTTTTGGATGGAGGAAACTCAGTCAGAGAGGTCGACCTCCACGGCCCAAGAGGGCGGCTAGATTTTGTGGGGTACCGTTTGTTTCTCTGAAAGGACAGCCCTCCCAGCTTATGTTGTGCATCGGGAGGTTGTTTCATCGTTTCATCTTTTGAAACAGGTTCTCCTATAGCTAAAAGCTGTCCCACCCGCAGGAGATTGGATCCTCTGCAAATGAAGGCTTGACAAGAAGGGTGACTCTTGTAAGGCCACCGAAACACTGCTCCAGGAGGGCCACCCCTCCCATTCAGGAGCTTGGTCACAAGGGTGGCCTCTGCCTAGTGAATTTGCCCCAATGGTCTAGGAAGCGCGTGAATAATCGAGGAAAGCCACCATTCAAAGGCTTCTCACGCGGATGATGGGGGGTTTGTCTCGAGTCGTCGGGCACCAGTAAGCCAACCGCGAATGATCTCGCCGCTTGATGATCTGGTCACGTCGAGCTGTCAGTGGAAAGACGAGGCTTTCTTGAAAAATGCAACGGCAAGAGCGCCATCCGAAACGCTTTTGACTAACAGGTGGACTTCCCGGGCGATACAGCATCTTGCCCGCTCCCGAGGCCCATGGAGGAATACCTCCGGGAGATGGAGAGGCTGCGGGAGACCAACCCTGCCGCGGCACGAAAGCCCAGCGGGCGTTGATTTGGTTGAGTTGGGTCCGGGTTGGTTTCATTTGATTTTGTTTGTTTGGTTCGGTTTGATTTAGTTTGGCTTGGTTTAGTGTTGTTTGATTTGGGTTGGGTTGTTTTCTGTATACATATTTAGTTTGACGTGGTTAAACCTTGGTTGGTTGGCTGCCTGACGATATCTTTACTGCCTGAATCATCCCGAATCCGTGCCGCATGTTTGATCTACTCAGGTCGAGGATGGCTCGTGGTGGGCTTGGGGGACAGATCTCAAGCCCAGTCTTTGAGACGTAAAAGGGAGAGGGATGCCTGATCTCCAAATGGGCGTGTTAGGGAAACCCTGGCTTCCCCAGGCAGAATAACATGACATGAGTCATTGAAGAAGTGGGCCAGCGCAGAACTCAGGTCCTCTGACGGTTGGGCCAGCACGTTGTAGCGAATACCCGATGAGTCGTTGGACAGGGCATTGTGAAACCAAGGCCCCACGGCGGAGCTGGAGCCTCAGTTTCCCGCACGTCAAGCGTTGGCAAAGACACCTGTGCCTGTGCAGAGATTTTGGCGAGATCTCGGCTTTGGATTTGGGTGAAAGCATGCCGCTCCGGTCGAAGTAGAACGAAGCAAGCTCAAATCCGGCAAAGTATGGAGGACCGTGCTTGAGCCTTGAGCGGCTTGCAAAGCCCGGATGGGGTCTGTAGCTGAATCCTGAATCCATTCCACGCGGCTTCAGGCGCAACTCTGGATTGAGCCCTGAACCCCCCGAGATCCGACGCCATGGCGGCCATGGTGGCGGTGGGTCCTTCGCCGCTGGGGGGCGAGGGCGTCTTTGCCCAGAGGGACTTTGCGCCGGGGGAGCAGGCAGGAAGTGGCTGGGCTGGCTGGATCTCGTTTGAGGCGTTCGGTGAACTCAAGCGGTGGATTTTCAAAGCGTCCGCGCTCCTAAAGCGGCCGAGTTGGACGAAGGTTTGGCTGGTCTGCAAAGGGTGGGCGGGCCCTAGCATAGCAAGCCACAAGTTCCGGGATGCTTTGACTTGGCAAAGAGGAGACCCCGGAATCACTGGGAACCAGCGTTGGGCCAACCCTTTGTTGAACCATGTTCAAAATAGCTTTGCTCGTGTTCAGGCCGAAGCGGAGGTTGCTGAAATATTGGTTCCACCCCGGCTTGGAGCCCCCCGGTCGCAACCAGGTCTTTGCAGAGCCGCCAGCAGCATGCGGGGGCCCGAGAAAGGGGTGGGTTTGGGGGAGTGGGTAGGTTTGGCCCCATGTGCTATGAAAGGCGGAGGTAATCCAAGAAACACTTGGGGGGGAGTTCTCAGTTCGTTTCCAAAAGCACTGCGTGGACTTCTTGGAAGCTCAAACTTCGCAGCATGTGCTTGTTTGGGGGACATGAACGACTTCAAATCCAGGAGAGTCTATGGGTTCTGTTGCGATTCGTTAACATGGATTTTTTTTTGGGTGACCTGCCTGCTGGCTTGGATTGCACGCTTTTTCAAGAGCCGCGGCAGGGCTCGCGGGCATGTGCCGATTGATGCACCGGGACAACGAGGGCCTGAAGGACAGGTTCGATCAGCACCTGGGCGCAGAAAGACAGGGCCATGGTCCATGCGCCACGTGAGCCAAGCCTCATAACTTCGGGACAAAACACCTGCAGCTCCGTGCTCCGTTTCGAGGGAGAGCTGAGCTTGAAGCCATTGACAATGGCTCGCGGCTTTAGGTAGAGGGAGATTGGCAATGGAGAGAGCAGCCCCAACCAGCCAGACTCCAGTTGGGCGAATTGCAGATTTCTGAGCATGTCGCCAGAGTAGTTTTTAAGACGCGCGCCAATCCCCAGGCAACCCTACCCGGATTGTTCCACTAATGTTGTGGTGGGAATTTCCCCCATCTTTGCAGAATGCCTTCTTGAAAAGAACGATGGTTGGAAACGGGGAATTAACCCTTGGACATGCTCATACTCAATCAAGAAAGTTGACCATGGCATACATGAATATATTTGCGAGGGATACAGCATGACAAAGAGCTCAGCAAGGATTAGGAAGGGTTTTAGCCGAGGAAGGGTGATCAGCTCGAGTTTCTCGTTTTGAACATCCTCCTGGCTTTCCCCTAGAGAATTAGCACACAAGAAACACAAAGGGAAGGCCAAAGGTCGCATTTCCACAGCTTGGGGAAAGTTGATTTTCAGATCCCCAGATCAGGCGGGAGCAGCGGGTGAACTGCAGGCTGGCGGCCCTGCGACACGGTGCGGCCCTGGCGGCCCTGCGGAGCGCCGGCCTCTTCCGCGGCTCGGGCGCGGTGGGGCAGGCCGGTGGGGTGGCTGGTGGGTGGCCGGGGCCGGTGGTGCACGTTTGGTCGTCTTGAGAGAGATTGCTTGTGAATATACATTTTTTCAGGGGAAATCGCAGATTGCCAGCTGGCAGAACGCTTCTCTTTCCTTTGAGAGGCTTCTGTTTTGAAGTGAGAACTATCCACAAAAAGACATACCCATGTGGACATTTGCAAACGCAACTGCTGCGACAGTTGACTAGGATGTGCGACATCTCTCTGAGAAGTTTCGTGTAGGACTTCTTTATTCACTACTGGTTGAGAACACAAATGCTACCAGCTGTTTGGAGGCTCAATGTTTTGCAGCCTGCATTCCAGGATTTGTCGGCAGTGGGGGTTCATTTCTTCCAAGGGGAACGGGGCTCTGAACAATAATTGGGGGTGTTTTATTTGGGGTCTAGCGCGGAATTTTGCGGGTTCGTGGAATCGTTGCACAACTCTGTTGAAAGCCAGAAGCAAATACTCGCCCACGCTCGCGCAGTCAAGGCCTGCAATAAATCAGGGGTCGACATTTTGTCCTCTTGGTATCAAGCAGTTTGGCTTTGTGCAAGGTGTTCGCCTTGACGTTTCCGGGGTCGACTTGTAGTGGTCACCTCCTGATGTACTCAGGGGCAGGCTACCCCCCTCTATAGAGTAAATTATCTGCAAAAAAAGTCAAGACGCATGAGGTCTGTCAGACTGCAGGCACGTTGTTTTGCACTGCGTCAACCAGGGGTCAACCTCGATAGGAGCGGCGGGCGGCCTTTGAGCGTTGGGCTGCTGACACCTGGCCCGAGGAGCAGGCGGCGCACCAGGCGAGTGGCCGGATTTTTTGGGTTGCCCAAAGAAAGGAATGAGGCCGAGCAAAATCAAAACTGGTGGGTTGCGGGCACCTTTGGCGCATTGCTGCCCCTTTCAAATCGAAACTAAATGGGCATCCAGTGGCTTCTTGGCCGTTTTGGTTTGAGTTGAAAAGGACAAGATTGATGTGTTGTCCAACTAGTGTGTAAACAAGATCCTTTTCTGCTGTTGCTGTCCTTTGAAGGGGACCGTTGAATGATCAGGCTGCCATGGCCGATGCCATGACTGTCCTGGCGTGCCCTGTGAGGGAGTCAAGGAGTTGGGGCGGGGGGCTGCAGGGGCGCGCAGGTGCAAGAAACAGAAGGGATAGCTGTCCCCATTTGCTGAAGGCAGCAGACCATTTCTAAGCACCCCCTTCAAGGGATTCAACCCAAACGCCGTGGGCGCATGCTCCTCGTCGGCGGCAGATGCCCTGTATCCCAAGAGAGGTACAACTCCTACAGTTCCAAGGGCAATGAGAACCAGCTGGTCTTCCCGATGCTCTCCAAGGTGAACCACTCCTGCGCCGGCAACGTTAGCACCATCGCTGAAGAGGACCGATGGTATCCAGTGGAAACAACGGGCAATCCAACTAGCCCCTCCGCCAAGCGTCGAGCCTTTCATGCTGGGGGGCATGATCAACTGGGTTCACTCCAAGTCAACTTTGAATTTGGGCAATCCGGGACAGAATAATTGAACTAGATCCAAGCAAAGTCAGGCTGTTATCCTCAAGGAATTTGGAAGCACTTGCTTCACTTTCGAGGACATCGCTAGTGGTTTTTGACATGGGTCGCTTAATGGGCCTCATCAAGGGCTTGAATTTGACGTCAAGCTAGAGAGTCGACGCGCCGGCGTGCGGGTGCCAATGTGAGCTGCTGTGGCTGAGACGCGCCTCTAGCTGGACAAATCATGGCGATGGAAGGGTTTTGGTTTGCAACAACGAATCCTTACTTGGGGATTCCTCAGCTCAGGTTGGGTATTTCTTTGGATTTCCCAATCTCCGCCTGGTTGGGGTTGGATTCATTGCAGGTGTTTGACTCCACGCGCGAAGGAGGGGGGCCAGCTGATCTGCCGGCGGCCCATTTCCCTGGGGGAGGAGCTCTTCACGAGCTACCTCACGGATTTCGACTTGTTGCGGCCCGTGCCGCACCGAGCTTCGGCGGAAGGAGAAACATCAAAAGCAAATCCCCACAAGAATGCCACATCCCCCAGGTTGGCAAAAGGGAGAAAAGAAGCCGGAAGGTTGTGGGTATATCCTAAAGATCGCCTTTTTTGGGAACTTGGGGTAACCTTGTGCTTGGTGAGAAAAGGGGGAACCCAAAGCAGGCGGCGTTAAATCAGGGATGGATCACACACGAACAGGACATGGATGCTTACCACAATCCAACGAGCACATTGTCTGATCAGAGGTTTCCAATCACCAGCCAGAAGGCTGGGATGCACTCCGGAATTGGGACGGTTTGAAGGTGCGCGTGGAAGTCTTTTTTGGTCTTGTTTCTCTGGGGAAGACAGCTGATTGCAAGGAAGTGAGTGGTTTGGTGGAACTGGTTTTGTGTGCCTGCAGTTTGGAAAGCAGTGACGAAGCTGAGGCACCGTTTGTGCGTGTGGTGTGGTGCGAGAGAAGGATGCACAACTGGAATGTCATGGTCGTTTCTGCTGGTTGTTTCTCCCTGGGAGAAATGAGCCGGAGTGAGCGTAATCATCGGACTGACCTGCGGAGCAGAATGCGGGACCCTGCCTTTCTTCTCTTCAATATCTCCGCAGAAATGGAGGCTCCCTCCGAAATGGTCATGGGACAGAAAT